GTGCTCTAACCACTGAGGTATCGCGGCAATTATGTATATATATATATATATATATATATATATATATATATATATATATATATATATGTAGGTACATAGACAGATAGATAGATATATAGACATGTAGAAATATATACAAATAGATAGATCTTTTTTTTTTCTTTTTAATAGCCATTCATTTCACTGCAGGACATAGGCCTCTCTTAATTCACTATTGAGATGTTATATGGGAGTGTCCCCCTTGCCTGATTGGATGCCCTTCCTAATCAACCGCGTTTCGGCGCACTAACATTTGTGCTACGGCGGTGATTTCCCCTACGACACCTGCGTTTGACTTCTTAAGGTGATATGTCGTTTTCTCGGGCTCGAGCCAGCAGTCAGAGCGCAGGCATTTTTACGACCGCCGCGACTCGGGACCACGAAGGTCGGAGTCTAACCACTGGACCATCGCGGCAGTCAGATACATACACACCCACACCCACACCCACCCACACACACACACACACATGTATATGTGTGTGTGTGCGTGTGTGTGTGTGTGTGTGCGTGTGTGTGTGTGTGTGTGTGTGTGTGTGTATAAATGTATATGTATATATATATATATATATATATATATATATATATATATATATATATATATATATATATATATATTCACACACACATTCATAAATCTATAGACATGCACGTATATCTCTCTGTCTATCTCTCTCTCTCTCACCAATCTTATTTTTAATGTACCTAAACGCTCTAATATATTACCCCAAAGAAACGTCAAACTTTCCTGAACAGCTCCCTTTATACATACATCTCCACAGAACGGCACTTGTAACACACCTTAAAAGTGCGTGTCCATGGCTTTTACGTAATGGGGCAGATCCTTCCGTGTGGGCTGGGTTATCTGTTTGCATTGGTAGTATACTAAGGGTAAGAATAAGCCAGATATGTACTTCTTGGCTGAGATATGGGGCCATAAGATTCCTCTTACAGTAGCTAAAGCATTTATCAAGTGTTGTGGGAGGCCACTGTACTCGAAGAAGGTCCACTCAATAGGGCATGGACACCTATATTAAGATATAACAGTTGACTCTTTACACGATGTGGTAGGTGGTCGTATTTCTTTATACGAATTTTTGTTTTCGAAGGAAAATAAAGTCTGTGCATTATATTTCTTTTTAACAAGACTGTTTCTATGTTTATATTTGTTTCTTTTGTAAAGTTGTTTCTTTGTTTTCTATTTCAAATACATTTTCGAAACACAACAAAGTATTCGCGTTATAATGCACTTTACGACCTGTATATACAATACGATATTCTCACGCAGCTTAGCTTGTAGTACTGAACAAAAATGCACTTTTGTGGGTGATAGCAGTGTCAAGAGAACTTCAAAGACAGATTTATTTGTGTTCCTTGCTTTGTGCAGTTTATAGCAGTCATAAAGACACTAAAAATTAAAGACTTACTAGGGAATAACAAGTCGTTTGGAAATGGATTTGGAAATGGAAATGACATGTTGATAAAGTTTGTAAAAATCATCGTGACAGTAATAGTGAGGACATTATGGATTGTGATGTTAATAATGATTGTAACGATATAATCAATGACAGTAATGGCAGCAATAATGAAAACAATGGGAATAATGATAATGATTTTGGTGATGATGACGATGATAGTAATGGTAATAATGATGATAATGATAATATTAATGATATTGATAATAATAGTATTGATAATAATGATGATAACAATGATAATGACAGTAATTACAATTATGATAATAATAATAATAAGGATAATAACAATAAGGATAATAATAATAAGGGTGATAATAATAACAACAACAACAACAACAACAATAATAATAATAATAATAATAATGATAATAATAATGATACAAATAATAAGAAAATAACAATGATTAAGAAAATGACAACAAAAGTGGTGATAATAATGACTATGATAATCTAATCATAATAATCGTAATGATGATAATAATAAAAAAAGTAATGATAACAATAACAATAATGATGATAATGAAATAATAATGACAATGATAATAATAATAATAATAACAATGATAATGATAATAATACTAATAACAATAATAATAATAATAATAATAATAATGATAATAATGATAATAATAATAATAATGATACTAATACTAATACTAACAATAATGATGATGAAAATAATAATGACAATAATAATAATAATAATAATAATAATAATAATAATAATAATAATAATAATATAGTATGATAGTAATAATGATAATGATAATAATGATAATAATAATGATGATAATAATAATAATAATAATAATAATAATAATAATAATAATGATAATAATAATCATAATAATTATAATAATAATAGTAATAATTATAATAATAATAACAATGATAATAACCATGGTTATAGCGGTAATAATAGTAATAATAATAAAAATATCTACAACAGTAATGATAATGATAATGAGTAACGACGATGCAAAGCAGTTTATAACAATAATGAGAAAAATGACAATATAATAATAGTAGGAATAACGATGATAATAATAGCATCATAACCAACAAAAATGATGACATTGATAATAACAATAATATTTGTAATCATGAAAATTATTATAACAATCGACATTGATAATAGTAGAAAAGAAAATCAGTAATAGTAGAAAAGAGAAATTATAAAAACAAAATCGACTACATATCTAAAACAATCATGATAATAAGATAACAGTAAAAAAATGAGAAATATAACAAAAATAAAACATAAAAATACATTCACTTCGTATTTTCAGGAGCCTCGTACGTGGCAGAAAACTTACAACAGAGGTGGGAATTTTACATATATTCTCCAGTAGTTATAGATTATACGTGGCTGCGTTTGGGAAATAAAAATACGCTGATCTCGTTTGTCTGCATTCTAGTAAACCCCAGTTCCATTATATCTGGATGAATTGCAAAAAGATGTAGGATTTAAGGCCGATAGCGTTTCAGATGCGGATAAAATTCGTGTGTGTTTGGTTGAAGGAAATCTATAATTTGTTGATTTGTATTTCAGTGTGAATATATAGGAAGAACAGGAATTTCTTTTAACTAGTAATATTTGTATAGTCCATACTTAGATTACGTTCTTTAACTTTGGAATTGCATGTGACAGTAACTATCTAAAGAAAAATATAAAGAAAAATACAAGTAAAAAACATAACCTTGACTCGGAAAGATGACTTCATATCGTTCCACAAAAACAAGTGTATAAATAATAAATATAGCAATGTATCTAGCATATTACCAATAACCTTTTATCACTAAACTCTAGAAAACTTTTTCTTTAGAACAGCTCTCCCTCACGTCCCTCTCTCTCTCTATCTCTCTCTTTCCCTTTCTCCCTCCCTCCCTCCCTCCCTCTACTCTCTCTCTCTCTCTCCTTCCCTCCCTCTTCTCTCTCTCTCTCCCTCCCTCTCTTTATATATATATATATATATATATATATATATATATATATATATATATATATATATATATATCTTTCAATCTCTCTCTCTCTCTCTTCCTCTTCTCTCTCTCTCTCCTAGTTCTCGACCATCTTCTCACTCACTATATGTCAGTTATTTATTTCTAGAACATCTCTAAACATAGAAAGATGCATTAACGTGTTCAAAATGAAAAGGCAGCGTCGTTACAGTAATGTTTGCATTTCATTTTCTTTGCTGTATACAAGTGAAACGTTTGCAATTACGCCAAGACTTGATAAAAGGAGCCTGGTCTAAATGAAAGGAAGGCGGGCCAGGGGAAGAAGCTGCTTACTACATATAGTATCATGCAAACTATAATCACACATGCGCGCTCATGGTTTATCTGTCTGTCTCTCTCTTTTTCTGTCTTTGTTTGTTTGTTTGTATGTCTCTGTCTGTCTGGCTGGCTTTCTGACCGTTTTGTCTGTCTGTTTGTTTGTCTGTTTGTCTTTTTGTCTGACTATATATATATATTTTCCTTACTCTTTCTCTCTCTGTAAGAACCAGTTCTTGTCAGCATAAGAAATATCCCTTTCTGCATTGCAGTGTTTCCGTGTTGAATCTGGTGACAGTGATAAACTTGTAAACTTGTCTATTATTTACGCTGTATTTAAGGCTGTAAAGTAAACAACATGTTTGCATCTAAATATAATAGCATGTCATTTGGCGTAGATAAAAGGGAATCAACCTTTGAAATTCTTGTTTTTTGTCATCATTACTGAACTGACAACACGCAAAAATATATATATAATTCAAATACATATACATTTATATATCTGTATAAAGTATATATATATATATGTATGTATGTATATAAACATAAATATATATATATATATATATATATATATATATATATATATATATATAATATTATATATATACATATAATATATATGTGTGTGTGTGTGTATGTATGTGTGTGTGGGTGTACCTTTATGTATATATATTTATATATGTGTGTATACACAAACAAATATATATATACCTATCTATATATATATCACATATATATTACATATATACTGTATATATATATATATATATATATATATATATATATATATATATATATATATATATATATATATATATATCTGTGTGTATGTGTGCACCCACACACTCATGTTATATAAAAGATATATATACAAGATCAATGTTACAAAACCCTCTATTGTATACCATCTTCATTTCTATTTCTCCTGGGATATATTCCACGATCCCTCCATACATATCCAGAGATAGGTGATTTCGCTACCACAACAAACCTATTATTTCTCTTTTATTCAGTTTTCTCTCTCTTCCCCTTTTCCTTTTCTGTCCCCTTTCCAATCCTTCATAAGCCTCTCTCCGGCTTTCTCTCTCTCTCTCTCTCTCTCTCTAGACACACACATATATATGTGTATGTATGTATATATGTATACATGTACACATATACATATAGCTGAGTCGGTATTCTTTATAGAACAGAGAACTCATC